TACAACGAACAGACCTTTTCTAAGGGTGGTTGTTGTATGACATTAAGGGTTACGCATGTGAATGGAGAAAAAAAAGTCAAAAATAGTTGTGTTACTTCAACACATGTAAAATGAATCCTTAGAAAACAGAATGTGACTGTGCCTGTGACTCTTGAAATGGCAAAAAAATGTCTTCCTGACCATTAGTGCTATTTTAAAAGCCCATTTAATTAGAGGCACTAGCATATATGGCATTAATGCCATAGTATGTGGTGACTTGGTAGGAATTTATATATTTCCTGCTTTCATGGCTGCAGAAGAATATATGAAAAAATAATGCAATAGCGAAAAAAAGAATTTATAGTTTCCCTGATGAATAAGCAGAGATACTTTGTTTCAATAATTTAGAGTAAAAATTACTTGCTGTTCTTGTAGCATGCTTTTGCTTTTCCATATGGAAAATTGTCCACAAGAAGGTATTTACTCTCTGGGCAGAGCCAGTCCTGGAGCTAGGATGTAACTTTATTTACTCCCTTTATCTTCTTGATTGTTCTTCCAGAAGTTTCCAGTCTCATGTGCTGTTGCAATCTGTTTAGCTGTACTGAAGTCATGCTTAATAAGATGGCCTGCACTACTTCCTTATACTGTGTATGTTTGTCGTGTTTAACAAAATCCCACGTGATTTTCGAATTAACTTCAAAGGTTAAGCTAACCCAAAGAGGTTGAACATACATGGTGTCATGGTAAAGCATGCTAAGTTAAAAGGATCAAAGTTTATTGTAAGATTTCCAACACTTCCTGATTGAAGCTAGCTCTTGTATTTATTTATTTATTTTATCTTATCTCAGAGCCACTAGGTCTTCTTCCAAAGCAGGAAGCAAAGATCAACGCAAGTTTTATGTGTTTCATTTCTTGCTTGGTGATGTAAAAAAGAGATTCTATTTTAGTCAGCAGTTAATCCAACCTCACACACAACTTCTGTTTCTTGCACTTTGACTCGAGTATGGCATGAAACCTTCCTCAGTCTTGTTGGTCGGTGTTTTTTCTGAAAATGATGGATATGGGCTGCTGACAGTCTTAGTTTTCACATTTACTTACTACTCTTTAGTATTTGTCAGCAGTCTTCGGTGTTATTGATGGTGAGTCTGTCAATTTGCACACAATTTGGGGTGAGGGACCAAGTTGTTGAATGTGTTCATTCTTCCCTTTTGGAATGAGGCCAAATAACTAAACTGGAGGACCCTACAGAAATCTTCTGTGGTGGCTGCTGCTTCTTATCCCTTCTTATCCCCAGGTGGAAAAAAATGTGAGATTTTTCCACCTGCACTGCCGTCAGCATGCAGTGAGTCTCAGCCTCATCTAATTATTTTAATCAGACTTACACTTATTTCTCATTGCAAAGTTTCTAGTCAATTTTGGAACTTTTGTAAATAGACGCCACAAAAAAGTGAGTCCAGGGACCAAGTTGGAAGAAGACCTTGAAGAGCTCACTGGGAGTAGCTTGCAGTTGTCTTTTAGTAAGGAGTTTTGTCCACTTAACAAACACATAGCACTTGCTGGGGCAGTTGGGAGAGGATGATCCTATAATTTCAGATGTGAGTGGTTAGTCAAGAGTATACTTTTAAAAATTGTGACTAGTACAATTCTGGTGACCATTTGTCTTAGAATTGTCCTAGATTACAGTAACTGTTGTGATTTGTGTATTACCTACAGTAATCTGGATGGGGCTGTATCCTGAAAATCATTAAGAGTTCCAGATGGACAGTCTTAACATAGTTGCTTAGTTGCATTAGTCATGAGTAATTCTCCAAATGATTCCATCTTTTGATTTATTTCTCTGAGAAATCGCTTTAGAAGTCTCCACAGTATGTGACATATAGTTTATATGAATGTATGTCAGAGGGCTAGTTGAAGAACCTGTTTTTAAGTGTCCTTTGGCTTTTGGAGAAGGAGCTACTTGCTTTTCAGGCTTTTGTTTGAAGGAAAGATGCAATCTATATTTCCCTCCTTCTTCTAGGTGAAAGTCATAAGTTTTCATGACACACAAGCAACTTGTTTCATGCACTGAGTCTGCAGAGCAGAATTACTTTTTAATTCCTAAGCCTTCATGATTAAAAAATAAGCATTTCCTCTGTTTTAGCCAAACACTTACCCAATTCTTACCATCTTTGGTGGATTCCAAAGGTGTATATGAGAAAATGGATAGGGATCAGTAGGTCAGTTTTTAAAGAGCTAGCATGGGAGATTAAGAATTCAAGATTATGCCTCTATCGTTTCACATTAGAGAAGCTTTACCTTTCCAATACTGCATGACATGGCTGGGTTTTTGAAACAGAAACTCAAAATGTGTCCTTCTTGGGAGCCCAAAACCACACAGCTCTCCTTCAACTCACTTTCAAACTCTCTAGCTTCTACCATCTAAACCTCTAGGACTCCAGTAATATGTTCAGACATTTTAACTGGACTGTGCATGTGGGGCATGGATAATGTTCTGCTATTGGTCTCTATATCATCTACCACAATGGCTATCAAAGATTGTTTAAGGACTTCAGGTGCAAGTACAGGTGGTGTCTACTACCTTCTTCAGTATAAACTTTTCTCCTTTTGGTTGATAACATTTGACCTTGGTTCCTTCTGTGATTTTTTTCTCGCTTCCAGCTATTGAAAATTATGTTCTTTGTCTGCAAGGTAAGTTGTAATAATAATTTTTGCAGATGTTTTCATGTGACTTTATAGAGTTATTTTAGGGATAGATTCCTTGAAGAAAAAAACCCAAGCTGATGAGATTTTTGAGTGTTTTCCTGGGTAATTAGAAGTTATTTCAAAGTTGAGAAGCAAAATTCTCTGATGTCAGTAAAATGAAAACGTTTTATGCTACACTTTGCTTACAGAAATATGTGATTTTTTACTTGAATCAGATAAGATGTGACAGTCTCCAGATGCATGTGCTGAGTAATGATAGCGTGCTAACTTAATATTTCATGAGAAGATACTTCTTTTGACTGAATGAAGTATATACATTGCTTGTGATGAAATCTGGTAATGCTTCACAGATGAAACAGTTTGTAGACACAACAGAATGCCCTATGGCAGAAAAGGCATCAGAGAAATAAAATATAGATTTAGTCATCTTTGAACTCAAGCAGCCAGACAAAATGTGTTATTTATGATAGCCTGAGGGGAGATTGCTATTTTTTTCTGAGTGTCACTTGAACTTTTAAGATTTATGTTGTCAAACAAAGGGACTAAAATTTTTTGCGGTTTCAGAGGGGAGCTGCTCTGGCTCAGGTAACTGGCTGTACAGTGCTATTTAAGCATCATATGAGCCACCAAGGCTCAAAGACACAGAATGCTGCAAATGGAAGTTGGGTATGTTAGCCAAAAAGTGGGACCCTTGGAGGCCTCGCTTGGTCCTTTGGGTCCCTAGGTATCGCTCACCACTTTGTGAGTACAATTTTCACAGTGCCCAAAAATATCCCTCTGGGAATGCCAGATTTGCCACCCTAAACTGCAGTGGCATCCTTAAGTGAGGAGATCCTTTGCTTACGTCCCATGAGGTGTCCTGGTCCGGTTAGCATGCTCCAAGCACGAGTAATGTGCACCCACAGTTCCACGCAAAACCAACCTCTGCTGCCATTTTCACTGAGGGTGTTGGAGGACATTTGATGGTACCAACCTTTAATGTTAGAGCTTAAAAACTTAAGAGCTGTCCTAGTGGCCCTGAACAAAGCCTGTGTCCTTGCCAAAGAAACGACTTGGGGTTTTGGCCCGGCTCTTGGAATTTCTTTCTGTATTAAATTGTCTAAATACACCTCAGACTGTATGCAGAGAACTTCAGTTGTGTTGGAAAAATTTCTAATGAACCTTCAAGTTTTGAGTTGTTAGGAGATTGTTTTGAGGATCATGCCCTTGGACTCAGGTAACAGCTTTCTCCCTGAAGGTGCCTAAGCTACTGTTTGGCAGTGAATCCAGTTCACTGCCTGAACAACTGGAATTTGAGGGTTTGAGGATAAAGCTCTTACAGTCACGAGAGTTATGGATCCTCCACCCAGTATTTTCCACTCTGGCGTGCTTCTAGTATAAAAAAGAGAAAAGGTATTCCCAAGCCCATCTTATCAGCCATTCGCCCACTTTCAGGTCACCTCAGTTTAGCCCCTTCAGCGTTACCAAGTTAACCCAGCATACTTGTCAGGAACAAGGAGTCATAAACAGAATAATAACAACTGTTTTCCACATTAGATTGCTTCCTTCTCTCAGTTACGAAAACTGATTATTATTATTGTTTACATTTAAACAATGAGAATGCTTTGTCCCCTCTCTCCCTGTCCCAGCACACGCCAACCTTGAACCCTTGTGGTCCACAGGATTTTTATGGATGCTCTGCAACACAGTTGTGGTAGTGCACTGCTGCCCTGAAGTCTCCTCTCCAAACAATGGGCTTGTTTGCTCTTGAATAGTTTAAATTTTTTAAAACAATTTCCTCTATGTGATGATGTTTATTTTAGGAAGGAAAAAGCAGAGGTTGCTGTTGGTACCTGCAAACAGCATCAGAGCTTCAGAGACAGAAGGCAGGTTTTAGAGCACAATACCAACAGTTAAGCAAGTGAGGGGAGACAGTATGGTATAAAACAATAATATAATATAAGAACAGAGAAAATGTGACAAAGTAGGCTTTGGGTTACCGTTTGCCAAATTGTGGAGCACACGTATACCGATTAGCTCCTAATCTCTGCTGTTGCACGGGAGCCAGTAACTTCAGTGGAACCGCTCTGCAGATGGGAGTGGGCTCACGTGAGGTCTGAGTCCATTCCTCAGTGCTTAGGCTTCAGGAGAAACCTCAATTGCTGGTTTATAGCACCATCCTCGATCTGAAGACCTGCCTGCAAAAGGAGTATTTGCACAAGCTCTTTATCAGCTAACTGCTGGTGGCTGCACCTGTGAATCTTTAAATGACTGGGAGTCCGTCCCAGCTGGGCTGGCTGAAGCTGAATACCAGTCAGCTGCCAGGAGGTGCCAGATGGATGCATGCTGCTTTTTTGGGCAAGCTGATGATAGAGCTGCGAGTCTTTTCCTTCCACTCAGGTACAGTGAGAGCTTTTTCCTTCTTGCCTGAAGAAGAAAACATGAAACAAGTTCAATGAAGTCATGGGTTCTTGTTGTTGGTTTGGGGAGACTAATATACTTACATGCTCTTCCTTATTTGTAGCTGAGCTACTGTTTCCTCCACTAGCTAATAAACTAGGCAGTTTAAAAAGAAGATGTGGATTGGTTTTTTTCTGCTCTAAGGAATTATATGCAACCAACAGTAGGGACTTGAACGTATCTTATATGGAAGCTGCACCAAATTTGTTTATAGTGCAGGAAAAGAAATTCCAATGAAGAAAAAAACCCTGAGAGCTGCTGGAAAACATTTCCAGAATCTCAGGATGGAAAAAAATTGAATATTTGGGGGCCCCTTACACCTTACTTCCCCAAGTGCTCTGAAGAAGTCTGTACGAGATATTTCTTAAACAAAAATCCCATTTCTTGCCCTGAAGTTTCCCACCAAAATGTAGTGCAGCAAATAAATCCTTATTGGGGAGTGGGGATACTTTTAATGTTACTTTGCTGTTGTTCTCTTTGTCTGAGCAGTATCTTTGGTTCTTTGCTGATCCTTTGAACTGACTAGGTATCTGTATTTGTTATCCTTGGTATTGTGCGTTTGGTGTCCTGAAAAGGTGTATGTGTGTTCAGCATTGGCCAAGCTGCTGTAGCATGGGGATCAAAACAGCAGCAGTCACAGAATGTTCTGTGTTTGAGTAAGGTGAGATGGAGGCTTTTGGCAAAGAATATAAAATCTGTTCTGTTAAAAAGACATTGTTAAATACTTCAAAGATTGGCTGCAGGATGAGACCTTAACTGGAGAGGTCTTATTTGCTGCCACCATAGTACAGGGAACTACAAAGAGTGCTCTCACCTTTGATCCGTTTGCCCCATGCTTTTTCGCTTAGTGCAAATACAAGGGTAAGGGCTAAGTTAAAATTACGTTGAACTAATCAGGTACGCACTTGTTAAGGCAGGAGCTGGTGGAAACTAAATGCACTTTTTTGCAGAGGCAACGAGAGGAAGAGAAGAAAGAATGGCTGGGGGTTGTGTCCGGGTTGTCTCTTAGTCCTGTGAGATTCATGGGCATTAGTTCAGCTGCTGCATGTGTCAGAACAAGTGGAATTTGCTCTTTGGCCTTCGTTTCATCCTTCTTTACATCTTCATTCTTCTTATGGAAAGGAGAAGAAACACAAAACTGTTTCAAAAGTTTTTTGGGGTTGAGGTGTTAACCCAGAACTGCAAAACGGGGGACTTGGCAAGTTTTGCTTTCTGTTAATTGCAAAATCCTAATTGGTGGAGGTGGATGTGATGGCTTGCCTAGTTTTTATAGATCTTTCCTCCTTGTTAGCTAAAGGTTTGCATAATTATATCTCTTGCTTGGCTGGTGCATCTATTTTTGGTACTGTTCATCTGAAAATAGTGTGAAGGTTTTTGAGGCGTGCTGAAAAATCCTGCCCTCTGAAGTTAGAGGCTAATGCTAATAAACCGCCCTTGGCAGAGGAGTGGTTTTGTTGTTTGAATCCACAGCCCTGCCTGAGCTGTCACACCTAGGCCAAAAGTAAATACAGTAATAGGGCAAGTAGCAGTATTTAATGTGGAAAATGAAGGTAATGCTGCTGTTAAAAAGCTTGGTATCCATACTGCTATCCTGAACAGGCCAGGAAGCATCCCAGGAAACTGGAAGAGAAGGAAAATGTCTGTTGCTTTAGGTTGATTAAAATCTCAGGGACTGGCTGCTTTTTCAATCAGGTAAGGGTATAGGTTTCCTGTTTGCTTCCCGGAGAGTGGAAACAGGACACAGTTACAGCTGCTGTGCTGCAGTTGTTTATGGATGTTACAACAGCTCCTTGCAGGGTTAGATATTTTTTTTAAGAAGTGTTTTGTTAAAGGGATCACTACCTTTTTTTTAATGCTACAATAATGTTTTCTTTAAAATCCTGCATCTACAAAGTAAAAAGGACAGGCGTGATTGTATGCTGTGTCTTTCCACAGAGTAACCAATGTGAGCTTTGTCTTTTCTCCATTGACTAAATTTAACCAAGAATATCACGCTGCTAAGCACAAGGGATAAGGTATTTTGTTCTCTTGTTGCAGTGAGACTTTCTTTCTTGGAAGGAAGGGAATTTCTTTTGAGAACTTGAAGCAGTTCTCCAGGTTGGCTCTCCAGAAGCAGCTAGTCTAAGTGTGTTTTCTGCTCTTTTTCTTTCTCATCAGTGGAAAATGAGCTTTGGTTCCTCTTTGCTGATGTTAAGTCTCTTATTTTCTTGAGGAAACTGTGGAGCTTGTTGAAGCCCAGGAGGGTGAAAAGATTGGCAATGATAGAAATTGAGATACTATTTTGGTAACCCGTAAGTGGAGGGAATGGTGAGCTTTGAGGATTGCTCATCATGTTTGCTTGCATTTTTTCCACACTTTTCCCATGTGGGGACTTGGTGGGTTGCACAACCAGAGGCAGCTTGCTGCAGCATGCATGGGCCACAAAAATTCCAAATCATGAGTCAAAATCAAAACTGGCTTGAAAAGTAAGAAGCTGTTAAGAAGACAGTGGCATTTTTATTCTATCAGTTAGGTGGGTTTGACCATTTTCAAGTGTAACCTCACAATAATGTGGGTCAGATTTATGCAGTGTAAGTAAGACTTGAGGTTGATAGCCAACTCTGAAGGATTTTGCCTATACTCACCCATCTAAAATGCCAGGTAACTAAGATGATCTAGTAGCCGGATTTTTTAATTTAATTTGGAGCTATGAATTATCCTCTAGTACTGAAATATCATAGCTAACTTGTCCAAAACCACCCCAACTGATTATTTTAGAGATGTAATGGAATGAATGTTTTCTATCTCTTAATTTTATCTGAGATCAAAAGCAGGTTTCTCTTCTCTCTGTCTTGTTTGCTCTTTCAGGATTTGGGGAATGATGTTTTCTGCAAATGTTCTTTTCCTTTCCTTCCTTTGTAATAAATAATTTTGCAGCCTTTTTCTGTGTTCATCACTGTTACAGGAGTGATATTTTTGTTGGAACCAGTTCTCCCACAACTTTTGACCTGAAAGTTTTTCTGCTTCCTGAGTATCTTGTTAATCTGGAAAAAAAAGATTCTGTGTACTTTAAGAGTCATAAAAAGGGTTTCCTATTGCTGACAAAGTTTCAGTTTATATTTTGACTATAAATACATCTTCAGTTGTGGCACAACACTCCTTTTGTTGTAATGGTCTCTGTTGGTTTTCCTTGCTTTCTGGAGTAATGTTCTTATTAATATATATGTTTCAGAATAAAAAAAACAAAAAAAAAACCCAAAAAACCCCAACCAAAATAAATCTGGTTTTCCTTTCCTGAGTTTAATTCCTGAGCTGCTTTCATCACATGTTTCTGTTCTTGGTACTTACTGTTGGGTTCTCCTGCTGCTGCCACTAAACTCCACATCCATTTCCTTTTCTTATCTCCTCCACTTGCTCCTTTAATCCCACTGCTGCTATAAAAATGGATCTCATCCTCCTGATTTTCCTGAATTTTAGTCCTGCTGTCTATCTAACATCAGTGGTGACTGGGTTTCCAGCTTTAATTACAGTTTTCAATTCTTATCAGACTGCAATCTCCCATCTCCTGAATTTTGAATAGCACCACAGAGAACTTCAGCGCAGAGCCAGGAGTCCTCTTTTCCTCACGCCAGTGCAGTCTGAGTAGCCACGTCTCACTGCAGGCACTGCTGCACGGAGTACTGCTGCTGTTTGTGAAGTTTCCTGAAAGTGGGAGGTGAAGGTGTGTCTAGTTGGTTAATATTGAAGGATAGCAGGGCTGAAACAAACAACGCTATATTTTGGTGCTCTTAGGTCATTATTAGATCTTGAGTGGTCCAGGAAAAACATATGTAACTGTGGGTTTTGGAGATTTCAAGGCTAGGAAGGGGGAAGCGAGGTGGAAGCCTGGAGGATGGATATTACATGTATCTGTTGTGCTAGTCTGAGAAATTAAATTATTTTTAAACTAGTACTTGGTTTTCACCTGAATGGCTTGTTCCACTGTTTCCTCTGCTCTGAAATCTGAAGGCAGAAGCCTGTTGAGAGGTGGTTGTCCACGTTACGTGCAACATGAAGGTACTCTGGAACAGGCAGTATTGATTAATACGAGGGGTTTATACTTCCTCTCTGTCTTGACAATGAGAACAAGCACAGCCAACACGCTGTGGGTGGTTCTCTTTCTTCTTTTACATTCATGCGTTTGGCTTTTGTTTTTTTTTCTTAAGGAAGTAGCCAGCTTGCTAAAATATCAGGTTCCTGTATCTTACTGAATGGGTGTAGGTAAGGGTGATACCTTTCTGAGAAGGGTGTAGCTCCTCTTTCACTTGGTTTTAATCTCTGAAGGAAGGCCATAAAACTTCCTCTCCTTGCGTGTTTGGGAAAGCACTCCTATGCCTGCTTTATCATTGCATAAAAGTTTGGGTAACAAGAGTTATGTTTTCAGCATGCTGTGTTGCAGGTGACAGCAAACCCCTGTTACTAACACTCATATCTAGTCAGCCAAGCGTATTGCTGAGGACTCTTGCTGGCAAATGTTTGAGACTGGCAGGGTGCTGTTAAGTAAGAAATTAATATCAGTGTGTATACTTGTATATGGTATGTAGTAGGATTTCTAGCTGCTCTGAGAGTGTTCTTCCTAGAGCCACGTTGTAGCACAAGAGCTAGAAATAAAATGCTGTGAATTGTGATCTTTGTCTGAGGACGACAAGTCAAGATACCGATCTAGGAGCATGCACCTCCACCGAGCTGGTTAGGTGACAGTCCTGGAAAGGAGGCAGTATGGGCTTAGAGCCGAGATGTAGATCCTGTTTCTGACGTTGCAACAGATGCTGTTACCTGATCCAAGAGAGGTCACTTACTCTGTCTCAATTTCCACGTGTGTGAGTATTTACATGACTTGTGGGAGCAGTGTGAAGACTCATTCACTAATTTTGAACTCTCTCTTCAAAATCCAATATGCTAGTAATGACCTTCTAAAATAC